CAGAAATGCTTTCAATCCAGATTTAATAAAAAAAAAGAAAAATTTTTTTTTTGGAATCTTAATATTTCTAAAAACAGAAACAAGCAACGGTTGGCCTGGCAGGGGTGGGTCGGGGGTGACTAGTAAAGCATGGCGGGCTTCCAGGCTTATAATACACTGGGGGAAACCCTGACATAGTTTGAACCCATTTAAAAGAAACCAGTTGGTAGTAACTACAATTTCTAAAATACTTCCTGCTCTGCTGATGTTTGCCTTACATGTTTCAAATTACCTCTAAACAAATAAATGATCAAAGGTGTACATAAAATTCTCCTGTTGTTTTTTTATTCAGAGTACATTTTTATGGGCAAAAGTAAAATTTAGGAATTTATGTACAATAATACATGTTCTATAAATGAGGTTTGTTTTGCAATTGTCAGAAAAAAATTCTTTTTGCATACACATGGAGACATGGTGACTCTGCCTGTTATGTTTGCAAACCAGGTGATCAGCAGTGACCCATACTGGGTTCCTACCACAGAAGAAGAATACCTGCATTTTGGAGAGAAGGCAGACTCTGTGAACCAGGCCCTGAAATACATGAACGCTGTCCGTCGACGGAAGGGTCTTTTTGTGGAAGAGAAGATCGTTGAGCATGCAGAGAAACAGAGGACACTTGGCAAGAACAAGTAGAGGAGATATCTGTCCGTCCTATCCCAATGTATCTCTCTGATAATGTTGACCTCTGTCAAGTCAATTCAGCAACATTTTGTGTTGGACTGTACTCTGCCATGAGTCTTTAATGTCATCATGCCGTTGTCCTTGGAGCTCAAATATTGCATAGCAGCAACAGCACACTTCCTCAAGTTTCTAATTCAATGAGATTAAATGACAAAATATTAGGAATAAAGTCTATTGAGAAAGAAAATAGTGTTTTGTTCACTATAAAGGTAAACAAATGTTGGTATTAGTTTCAATCAATCAAATTTTATTTCTATAGCACATTTCAGCACCAAGGCATTTCAAAGTGCTTTACATCATTACAAACACAAAAACACAAAGTCATGCAATAGAATCGACAAAAAAAACTGCATCAAGTCAAGTGCCATCATAAATTCGTGATTACATTTCAAAGACAACTAAACAGGTGGGTTTTTAGTCGAAATTTAGAGGCACTTAGTGTTTCAGCTGTTTTACAGTTTTCTGGAAGTTTGTTCCAAATTTGTGGTGCATAGAAGCTGAATGCTGCTTCTCCTTGTTTGGTTCTGGTTCTGGATGCAGAGCAGAACCAGAACCAGAAGACCTGAGGGGTCTGGAAGGTTGATACTACAACAGCAGATCTTAATGTATTGTGGTGCTAAACCATTCAGTGATTTATAAACTAACAACAAATCTATTCTCTGAGCTACAGGGAGCCAGTGTAGGGACTTTAAAACTGGTGTGATGTGCTCTAACTTCCTGAATTTAGTGAGAACACAAGCAGCAGCGTTCTGGATCAGCTGCAGGTGTTTGATTGATTTGTTAGTCAGACCTGTGAAGACGCTGTTGCAGTATTCAATGAGGTTAAAGATAAACTCATGGATGAGTTTCTCTAGATCTCACTGAGACATCAGTCCTCTAATCCTGGAGATGTTCTTCAGGTGATAGAAGGTCGACTTTGTGACTGTCTTAATGTGGCTCTGAAGGTTCAGGTCAGAGTCCATCACTACTCCCAGGGAAGGGCGCCGCCAGGAAACTTGGCCCCATGACAAAGAATTAAATTGGGCCCCCTGCTGTTACAATGTCTTGAGTCTATTTGACCCATAAAAAGTGGCACAATTTTAAAGGCATGTATAACTGCCTTGCTTTCTTGTCATGAGAGTTTGTTATGAGACAGACAATCTGAGAAAAGATGAATCTCCTCTACCTCCCCCTGACCTTCTACTGTCGGCTGAAGATTGTTATTGACACCCTAAAACCCACCTCCTGCCTCTGATTGGTTGTTTCTAGAGATCACTGGGAGAAGGCAGAGGAATTAAAGTGAAATGGAGGTAAACAGTCTGTAGCTAAGCTAACTATCTTAAATGGTTGATAATCTCACAGTCTAACCACCTCTCTTGGAGACTTTCTGGAAGTTTGTTCCAGATTTCTGGGGCCCCTCTTCATGCTAAAATCATCAGCACCTCTAACAGCTTCTGTGATAGATTTAGTGAAATATGAGAGAGGGGGAATAGTTTAATTGGCCAACCTAAAAAAGCAATACGTTTTAATTGCAGTTTACTAAATTGTATTTGTGAACAAACAGAGCTTAAACTCAAATATTAAACTCGGAGCATCAGATTGTAGCTATGGTAACAAAACAATCTACCTATAAAGATTATTCGAACTTTTACAAAGTAAACTTGCCAGCTCCTTAAAATCTTACATTTAAATGTTAAACAATTTAAAATATTTTAATGTATGTATGCTGAAAGCATTAAATCAAATTTAGCAGCATTGATCATCTCAATAAACAAATATTACATTTCTGTATCTGTGGTCTGTGTTAAAATATTAGCATTTATGGGCCCCTGAAGCCCTGGGGGCCTTATGGAGCTGCTGACTTGATTTGGATTAAACAGAAGTGCAAATAACTGAAATTCATTTTAATTGTATTTTTTGAATTGTTGTTTTTAAGACTAGTTGTGTGTTTAGATAGCATTTCACTGGTGATATTTTCCCATAACATAATTACTCTGTAATGTTTTTACTTCTCCTGTCTACTCCACATCTTTTAATATAAAAACACTTTGGACCACCAGTGGACGGCCTCGGCACCTGGACCACCAGGCTTAGCAAGTTTTCTGGGGGAAACCCTGTGTGTCATAACAGAGAAATGGTCTTTATCTGGCAATGTATTGAGACTCAGCTAAACAAAGCTAGACCATAAAAACATGTTCACACTCTTTCTGGCTCCAGTTTTGTATATGCAAAACCTGCACCAGTATTATACAGATGCCAGATGAATACAAAACACATCAGTCTTCTATGTTTTTGCCTAAAGCTTTCATTGTAATTATCCCATGACTTGATACACTAACCCTCACAAGATGATTTTGGAAACATGTGGAAGTTAAGGAAATACCTGAGATAAACATACCTACTCTGCAGCTTATGCTATGTAAGTAGCATTTTTACTACTTACATATTTTTTTGATATTCCAAGTTTCTGTAATATTTTTTGTCAGAAAAGCCAAAGTCTGTTGATTGTGATAGTGAAAGCAATAAAAGGTTACAACATCTGAGGAGATGAACCCTTTTATAGGCACCATAGATTTGTTTGGTGGCCAGATAGAGTGGGGATTCTAATAATTCTAAACTCCTTCCATTTTCAAAGAATGAAGAGACAACAATTATAAGGAGGGGAGGTACATAGGAGTGTGATCTGATCATATATTGTGTAGTCATCCTAATTGGCCACATGATGGTGCCAAACCCACCTTATCTGGGCCAGGAACAGTACAGTCAACATCTCAGTCAGGATGCTTCATTTGTGTATTTATATCAACTTTTATCAACTTCTACTGGCTTAATCCACATGTACTTAATTTGGCTGACCAGCACACATTCACAATGAACATTTTTTAATAATTGATCTTAAAATAATGTAGCCCTGTGCCCTCATCCCTAAATCAAATGCTAGCGAATCGCCTCTTTCTGTTTGACTGTGTATGTGAGTATACTAAAAAAAATATAGATCAGTGAGCAATGCAATGGACTCAGAACCGGAAGGCTGCAGGTTTGATTCTGGGTTGAACCATGTATTCAACTTCATTTCCTTGCGGGATCAATAAATTCATTTTCAATTTGGTTTCACTGCTGTTAAGAGAGGAAAAATTCTTGAACTTTAAAAACCTTTTGACTCGTTAAATCCTCTCTTATGCCCGGGTTCAGAAAAATGCTGAACTGAGATCACGCAGAGATAACAGCGTCACAATAATCAGCATTTATTCAAGACAGATGCATACTATCACCAGACAAACACATCACAAAACATCAGAAACCTCAGAGCACAAACAACACATGAATTTACCTGAGAGAGAAAAAGACAAAAGATGGAAACGACAAACAAAAAGCAAAGACGTCTTTGGAGAAGTTGCAAGAGCAAAATCTAATGTGTTACTTCTGTGTGGAAAGTTTTATCTTCTTTTCTTTAATTTATTCAAATAAGGCGTATCTTTGCTCCTCCAACCAGGAGCTATCTCTGACCCTTTATCTGAAGCCAGGAACCCCTGCCGTGTTTACGGCTTTTCACAGATGAGTGTGAAAAGCTACAACTTCTCCTGATTGTTTTCCCACACAGACAAAAGGCAGTTCAAACGATCCTAGCAAACCATCTGCTGTAACTACAGGTAACATAAAGGTCAATAGGCCAGAATACGTTACTGATTTTAAAACCGCAATTTAGGCCATTTGAATCAAGACATGTTAAGTTTTAAAACTAGCTTATCTTAAATTTATTTTCTTAACACTGCCAACATGAGTATGCTTTACTGTGGAATTTGGCTCTGTTTGTTCAATCTCTCTATTGTAACATCTTCCTTTCAGTGTTATATAAAGTACAAAAACACAGGTTTTGTTGGAGAACACAAGCTTTAATGAAAATGGTATGAATTAAACACTCATGATTTAAATTTGAATTTTAAATTATATTCATGTCAACTGTAGTACATTAAAACAACCACTAGATGTTGCTATTTTAGAGTGTACTGAGTGCTTTAAAACAATAAGCCACTTTCTGAGTGACTGTTTCAAAGTGGCTCAGGAAGCTACGGTTTCACCATCACTAGGTGGGGGTTGCTGGATGGTAATAGTATCCATTTTCTTACACCATTATCCCATTGGGGTGGGGAGGGGTGCCTATCTCCAGCTGTCAACAACCAAGAGGTGGGGTCACCCTGGACAGGTCACCAGTCCATTACAGGACAAACAGCCATGCACGCACACACAGAAGAATTTATACAGACCAATTGTTGTGCAGAGTTCCATTCTGCAACCAGAGACTGAGATCTGCTGTCTGTCTTCCAAAGGAGGAAAATGGCTTAATTAAAGTCCCTTAATGACCTCAAAGCAGAGAGGACAACAGTTAAAAGACTTTTCTCCCGTTTTGCAAATAACATTATGAGGACCTACATGGAGATGTCTAAGGAGGAACTGGAGGAGAACTACAAGAAGCTTACACTGGAGAGCTCCAAAGTTATGGAGGCAAATGAGGATGTGGAGGCTGCTTATATGGCTGAGTGCAAAGCAATTGCAGCTGAGGAGCTGAGTAATCTTCAGAAAGCCGACATAGAGGAGACGGAGGAAGAATGTGAACAAAAGCTTAAAGATGCGAAACTCCTTATCCGAGAGACAATGTGGGCCACATATGGAGAGAAGGAACTGTCCCTGGCTCTACACGTTGCAGAGGATGAGCGCAAGAATGTTTCCTCCATTGGGCCAGACACAACTCTGGAGGCATACGAGTTTATGCTCACCCATTTGGAGAAATTGATCCAGAAGGCAAAGGAAGCACACCAAAATTGGAACTGTTGGGCCCCACCTGCCGAGGAAAAGGATTTTAACTACTGTGTAAGGGAGCTAGAGGTGTGCCTCCCTAGGCTGGTATCCCAGAAGGCTGTCTTTATCAAAGCAGCAAGTAAGAAGGATACAACAGAGGAAAAAGCCTTAGTCCACAGCCTACCTCCAGTAGCTGCAATAAAACTGAAAGCCACAGCTTTACCAAAGTTTGGTGGAAGTAAACGAGACTATTACAGATGGAGAAAAGAATGGGAGGCTCCCCAGAAGCAAGGTGAACCATCTGGTTTGAAAGAAGTAAAGAAGTTTCAATTGCTTGATAGTCTCAAGGAGAATGTGGCTAAGGATTTACGCCTGTCAACATACAATTCATCAGATGAGATCTTCAGAGTCCTGGACAATCGTTTTGGGAACAAAGCTACCATTGCTCTTGAGATTATTGAAGAATTACAAGCAATTCCACCAGTGAGAAATGGTCAACCTAGACGAATAATAGAACTCATCCAAGCTTTGGAGAAGGCTCTTAGTGACTTAAATGAGCTAGGAAATGTAGATGCCATAAAGAATCCGCTGGTGACTAAATCCATAGACAGTAAGCTTCCAGAAACTTTAAAGAAAGACTGGCTCACCCATAATGCAAATGAGAAAGACACCAGTCACCAGAATTACTTTGACAAGCTTATGGTGTTCCTTAGATCACAAGAATCCATATATGAACAACTAGATCAACTGAAAGACCTTGTTGAACCCATCAGAGAGAAATCCAAGTTCTTAAAATGTGCCAAAACCAAGACAACCAAGCACGGCAGTGACATATCAGGCTGCATTGTTTGTGATCCAAAGCACAGGAAGAAACTGTATTTCTGCAGAAGGTTTAGGATCAATCTAAAGCCATCAGAGAAGAGGGATATAGTTCAGCAACTCGGTGCCTGCAAGAGATACCTTGAAATCCATAATGGGGACTACTGTAAGAAAACTGATTACCTGTGAAAGAACCCAGAGTGTAAAGACCAACACCACTTTATTCTCTGCTTACTCGCTAGACCACAGTCCCTAAAAACACCTAAATCTGGTTCAGAAAAAGCGGAGGACAAAATACATACTGAAGCCCAACAATAGTTTCTTTCCAAACTCTCACCTGAGCTGGCTCAGCAATGTAAAGATGCTTTCTGCAATGTTGTGTCAAGGGCACACAACTCCACTGTTACTAAAACAGGCCTTCTAGAGGAGAATGGATTAAATGAGTCCTGATGATTCCTAATGTCACAGCCAATGATGGACAAAGAATTGGAACCCTCATTGACCTGGCATCAGACACAAACTACATTACACATAAAGCTGCAAGTTGAATCTTAGAAGTGAAGATGTAACACTTGTGGTCCATGGTGTTGTAGGGATGCAGGTGTCTGTTTAAACGAAGCGCTATCTCCTTAAGATACGTGTCAATATTCCAAGAGGGACCCTCAAGTCGCATCAACTGATCGGCTATGGGCTTGACAAGATCGCAGGAGTTCATAGACATGTTCCTGTCACAAAGCTTCAGAGGATTTTTCCAGATGTCTCCTTGAAAGACCTTACAAGACCTAAAGAGATACAGCTCCTGATTAGCCACAAAGGTCAACTTGTACCTCAGAAAGTTCACTCTATTGGGGACCTAGTGCTATGGGATGGACCACTTGGAAAGACAATTGGAGGCACACATCCGGACCTCTTTGAAGAAGTTACCTTAATGGCCCATACATCAGAGACACACTTTGCAAGATCAATGAGGACTGCAGCAGTCAAGTACAGTGAACTCACCTGCAAATCTTCAGTTTCCTGTCAGTCTCCCAAGCACCCTTTCATTCAATCCAATGCAGCCACTACCAGCAAAGACTTTTTGAAGTGGTGGGAATGGGAAAGCATCGGAGCAGCCTGCGTGCCAAAATGTGGAGGATGTCGCTGCGGGAATTGCCAACCCGGAGGGAAGGAAGGAAATGTCTCTGGCTGAGGAGAAAGAGATGGAAACGATGAGAAATGACTTGACTTATGTGAATGGTGACCATCACACCCCTGAACCACACTGGCACGCCAAATATCCATGGACTGACGATTTGGCTTCTCTCCCCAACAATAGGAAAGCAGTAGAAGCTACATTCCTCAGGATGGAAAAACAGTTGGCAAAGGAACCAGAGTGGAGATTGGCCTATGTTTCACAAGTCCATAAAATGGTCGATCGCAAAGCTGCAGTGAAACTGTCCAAAGAAGTACTACAAAGCTGGACTGGGCCAGTGTGGTATATAAGTCATCTGATTGCACCAAATCCACATTCCATATCTACTCCAGTGAGGCTAGTGTGGAACAGCAGCCTGAAGTCCAGAGGTCTGAGTTTGAATGACATGTTGATTAAAGGTCCTTATGTCTTAAATCTGATCAGAGCTGTCCTCCTGAGGTTCTGAGCTGGTGTCTTTGCCGCCCTTGGTGACATCCAAAAA